GGGAGACGGGGGAGAGGCGCGGGGCGGGGCGGGGGCCAGGTGGAAGGGGGGGCAGGGGCGGGAGGCCAAAGAGGAAAGAAAGCTGGGCGGAGGGGCTGGGAGGGAAGGGGCGAGGCCGCGGCGGGAGGCCAGGCTGGGGTGCGCGGGGAGGGCAGGTGGCAGCCGGGGGGGCCGTGAAGGTGGCGGCCGTGCCCGTCCGCTCCAGCTTCGCGCCTGGGCCGCCTGGCTGGTGGCGCCGCTTGCAGGGCTGCTGAAGCGGCAGCGGCGTGGCTGGCGTGCCGCTTGCAGGAGGCTGCGGAGGCTGCGGACGCACGACGACGACGACGACGACGACGACGACGACGGCGACGACGACGACGACGACGACGACGACGAGGACGACGACGACGACGACGACGACGACGACGACGACGACGACGAGGACGAGGACGACGACGACGCCAAAGGGGGACTCACACCGCATAGAGCGGAGGCCACGCCCGCGATCTCGGGTCCCCCCGCCTGGCCGCGCGCCCAAAGTTGGCGCGGGTCTCAAGCGCCCTTCGGAGGAGGAAGGATGCTCGACGCGGACGGGCAGCGCAGGAGGGAGAAAATCGATACCAAGCCCATGAGAATCAAGCGGCCGAGGGCGCGAGACCTCCGCGGCCGGCCCCCCGCGGGGCCGCGGTCCTCGTCTGGCTGCGGACAGTGAGGCGAGGTGCGACGAAGGTGCCAGAGCCGGCCCTGGCTACAACGCGCGCCAGCGACCCGGCCGAGGACCGACCCTGCTGGCGGCGAGGGGTGGGTACTCGACTCGGCCCTCCCGCCCGCCCCACTCTCCGGATTGCACCTGCTCCTCGGCCAGGGCGACCTCCCCTTGTCCTGGCTAGCTGCATCACGTGGCGCGTGGCGGAAGGGGAATAGGGGATGGGGGAGGGAAGGGAGACCCAGGCGGAGGAGGGCAATGGGAGGGAGCGGGATGAGCGACGCGGGAATGAGGAGGATGGGGAAGAGGTCCACCCAGGGCCCCCCCCCCGGGCACTGGGGCTGGCGGAGTGCCGCGCGGGCGGCGGCTCCTGGCAGCCCCGCGGTGAGCTGGGTGCTGCGCGGTGGGCTTGATGCTTCATCTTATTCGATCTTGGTCGCCCAGCGGCCTCCCTGGGATGAGAACTGGTGGAGTGCCGCGCGGGCGGCGGCCCCCAGCAGCCCCGCGGTGAGCAGGGTGCTGCACGATAAACATCATCTGTTGCCTGCTGTCTGGCTGTCTGGCGCGCCTGGCCAGTGGGGCCGCGGCCGCTGCGGGGAGGCTGCGGTGCTGCCAGGTGGCTGCGGGTCGCTACTGCGCAGCCGTGCGGCCGTGGCTGGAGTGTGGGGGAGGGAGACGCCCCGAGGCGCGGGGGGCCCGAGGTGAGCGGCGGGATGGGGGGGGCGGGCGGCCCTTGGCGAGGGGTCCCCTTGATCCTTGATCCTTGATCCTCCGCCGCCCCCTCCCTCCCCGAAACCCTCCGATTCACTTCCGAGGGCCCTCCAGCCCGCGCCTCACGCCAGACCTCGAGCCGCCGCCGCTGCGCCCCCCGCGCGCGCCGCCCACCCTTCGGCTCCAAACCCTTCTCAGTAAAGGTTTTAAATGCGTTCTGGAGGGAGCGGGGGGAGCCAGGAGCGGTCAGAACTGGATCGAGAGACCAAATCGGGTCGGAAGATCGGGCTGCACCAGCGCGGAGTCGGAATCGAATCGGATCGGCAGCGCCAAGATGCAGAACGGCCGCTTGCAAGCATTGGGCCGCACCGCGTCGCCAGAACACCCGAACCGAATCAGATGGGGCTCGTCGGAATCGACATCGAATCGAACCGATCGGCTCGAGATGGACCCTGACGTCGGGGCTCTCGGGTCATAGCTCGGGTCTCTTGCGGCCGCTGGGGACGACGCGGGCACCCCCCCGAAAGTCCTCGGCGAGGCGCCAGCTGATGGGACGCAGCCCGAGACAGCAGGACCTCCAGGAGCTGACGAAGCCGCCCCGAGAACTCGCCCGAGCGAAGTCCGGGGGCGTTTAGGAGGAGGGCGTCCAAGAGGGGGGCCAGCAGGGTGGAGGCAGCATGTCCTGACTCTGGATCCGCAATGCGTTCGGCGAGTTCGCACGTGTAGGGCGGACATGTCCGCCCCACTTCCAAGCGCCTTTGATGTCGACTTCCGCGCTACTCTGCAGTCGCTGTTCCCGCCATGCCTTCGCGGAACTATCCACCCCACTTCACTGAGGCGGGACCATCATGCTCTTCCTCATCGTTTGGAACGAATTTCCGACACAGCTTCAAGCCGGAAGAACAACCAAAGTGTGGCGGATCCGGAGTCAGGAACGGCGGGGTACGGCGGATCTGGAGCCAGGGAGGGCGGGGCCAGAGCCAGGGAGGCGCACCGCTGCAAATCGGGCTATCCACCAAAAAGCACGGCGGATCGGGATTACTCTGAACTGGGCGGATCGGGATCCCGCTTGGGTAGAGCGGCGATGGGTGGGAAGGCTGCTGAACGTGGTGGTGACCAGGTCAGTCTCACAAAAAAAACGGTTTTGAGGTGTTGGCGCATCCCTCCGTCTTCACAAGAGCTACGCTTACGGCGTCAAAAAATGTACCATTATTGGAGCCGTCAGCCTGACCACCACTCGCAGATTCTAGTGGCGCTGTTCGGCACGTTTGCTTTCGACCCGAGACCGCATCTTCGTGGCGGGAGGCCCACGAAGTTTTCCTCGCCCTCTTTGGTCCAGCTGGCCAACGATCTAGAGGAGGCCGCCGCTCTCCTCCCATACGATGCTGTCCAGTAAGTGGCCACGGACCTCAATCGATTTGCGGGCGCGGAGGCCACGGAAGTTTTCTGGGCTATTGATATGAACGAGCTTCGCAGCAAAGCCAACGGATGTGCTTCCCACCACCTGGGTGGACAGAGACAGAAATTCCTCCTCCACCAGTTCGAGGCGGAAAAGAATGTGACTTCGTCTGTAGGTACAACAACAACGGTCAGGAATGCGGAGCGAGTTCTTCAACACAGGGGGCTCGATTATCATATATGAAGGTGGCTCATCAAGTACGCAATGTATGTTACGTACTTACTCCAATCAATGGGTGTATATGTTGCAAGCAAGTTCTCTCATCTCAGAAATCAGCAGCACTTCATTTGGAACTCTCTTTGAATCGTGGGTTTTGCCTTCCAGAAGCAGCCCGACCCCTAAACAAGCTAGATCCTCTCCGAAGCTATCATTGTCTGTGCTGTGATTTCGAGGACGGAACGTACGACGAACTGCGTAGCCATCTTGTCTCGAGCCATCTTCCTGGACAAATCTCGCCAGTACCAGCTGCACCAGACACCGAGCAAGATGCCCGAGGGCGCGATGGAGATCCCGAAGGTCACAGTGCCCGCCTGGTGCAGCCCTTCGACCACAGGGTCAGATGGTCCAAAAGATGGAGGCGCGCCGCAGGTCGAGAAGCACGAGGGGGACAAACAGCAGAAGGACGTCGTCGTCCCCCTTTGCAAGCTCGTGATGGCGAACAGCATGGCGATCGCAGACATGGAGAGCATCGCCTACAACAAGTACCAGATCCCGGTAGGCCAAGGCAGCGTGTCGGCGGGTCTCGCCGCAGGGAAACGGTACGACACAGAGAGCAAGGAGCTCAAGAAGAAGGCAACAGGGGGGGAGGCAGTGGACCACAAGGCGCGCGCGCCCCCGTTTCTGGCGGTCTTCATGGCCACGTTCGCCTACGGAGCATCTCGCACCGTCCCGGAGGGCGGCAAGGAGCAGGCGAAGAAGCTGGTCAGCGAGATGCTCGCCTTCTTTACGGAGCGTCTCGCGTCGGCATGGATCAACGAAGTAGCGGAGCTCGTGGGGCACTTCAGGATCAAGACGCACAAGAATCACGAGAATCAGGAACAGCTCTGCACGATCATGTGGCTCTTCAGTCCGACGCACAAGTACAGCGAGACGGTCAACGAATGGATGCAGGCGCTCGTGATCGCAGAGGGAGGAGTGCGGCTCCACGGACCAGCTCCCCGCGGCCCGCTCGAGCGAGTCATCAGCCAGTTCTTCGAGGACAGCAAGTAGATATCAGAGCGAGTCATCAGCCAGTCAGAAGAGTTCAGCAGGTAGATATCCGTCGGCTGCCGCCTACCCTACAGCACAGTGCGCGCGTAGCGGCGATTATAGCACAAGATGTTATCCCCCGTCGCCCTCCGTCTCGCCCTCCTCTTCCCTCTTTCCCCCAAGCTGGTGTTCAGTCAAATGGCCCCCCGAAGCCTCGGACCTTTTTGACTCTGGATCGCAATTTAGCATTCGAATTGCCAGATGTCCGAGAGGAGGTGGCAAGGGGAGAGCCAGTGGTCGGAGTGCAAAAGGCACGGGTTCGAGCTCGAGTCTCCCCCGTGCCTGAAGGCCAGCCGCTCCTACAGGGGGCCGCGTGCCTCGGGAGTGTGCTGGCGGGGCCAGTGCAGCTGCGGGCTGAGAGTGGTCCGCATCTTCTTGCAGATAAATTTGCCGGTTTCGTAGGATAAGCATCCTCTGGCTACAAACTCGGGCGGAGCTTGGAGGTGTCGCAGCGCCTTCAGTCACGAATGGTTGCAGCCAGTGCCTCGTTTGAATCTGGACCCCTCGAGCTGGAAAGGAAAGGAAAAAGGGCCCTGCGCGAGCCCTTCTGGGTCCACCCTCCTCCTCCTCCTCCTCCTCCTCCTCCTCCTCCTCCTCCTCCTCCTTCTCCTCCTGGCACGTGGCTGCGCACCACGAGTTCGATCCGCCTACCGCCTCAATTGAAATCGGACTGTTGCCGCCATCGCCTGAGCCTGACGTTCGTCAGCTGCGATCTCTGCGGAAGCACGCTTACTGTGAATTACGTCCTCCTCCTCCTCCCCCTCCTCCTCCTCCTCCTCCTCCTCCGCCTCCTCCTCCTCCTCCAGCCTCCTCCTCCGCCTCCTCCTCCTCCTCCTCCTCCTCCTCCTCCCCTGGGTGCACAGCGAGGGGCTGAGGCATGGGCGCCGGGCGGGCAGGCTCCTCTCCGCGGGCCGGGCCAGCCGCCGCCGCGTGCGGCCTGCGCGCCTGCTTGCCGCGATGCGCGGCCTGACCGCCCCGAGCGGAGGGGGCGGGAGGGGTTTCCCGATGGGGGCCAGTCGGGACGAGGAGGAGGAGGATGAGTGAGCAGGAGGAGGAGGAGAAGGAGGAGGAGGAGAAGGAGGAGGAGGAGGAGGAGGAGGGGGATGAGGGGGAGGAGGAGGAGGAGGAGGAGGAGGAGGAGGAGGAGGAGGAGGAGGAGGAGGAGGAGGAGGAGGAGGAGGAGGGAGGAGGAGGAGAGGAGGGAGGAGGGAGGGAGGGAGGGAGGGAGGGAGGGAGGCAGGATGGAAGAGGGGGAGGAAGAATCAGGACCTCCTCTTGACCTTTTGAACAAGCACAGTGTCGTGCAGGGGAGGGGGAGGGGAGGAGGAGCGGGGGAGGGAGGGGTGACGAAAGCAACCTCCGCACGGGAGTGTCTCGACACGGGCGGGACCCGAGCCAAGCCACCACCGCAACCTCACGCACCCAGTCACACCGCCCCCCCCCCCGAAGGGGGAACAGGGCCAGCTACACAGGCGGACGGGCAACTCTCACCACCCACGCTTGCCGCCGCGGCCTCGGCTCTGCTGGAGGTGGGGATGGAGCAGGAGGAGGAGGAGGAGGAGCAGGAGGAGGAGGAGCAGGAGGAGCTTTCTTGCCATCAGTGGGTCAGCGGGTCAGGAGGATGAGGAGGAGGAGGAGGAGGAGGAGGAGGAGGAGGAGGAGGAGGAGGAGGAGGAGGAGGAGGAGGAGGAGGAGGAGGAGGCTGGAGGAGGATGGGAGGAGGATGGATGGAGGAGGATGGGGGTAGAGGAGGACGCTTCGACTTGGGCTGAGGTCATGTTCTAGCCCCGAGCAGAGCAGGATGAGGAGCAGGGGAGGAAAGCGGCCCAGAACATCGACGACCTCGACTTCGGAGGTCGAGCCTCCACTTCGGAGGCAACAGACCTCTAGAATGAAGGAAACCAGCATCCATGCATGATCCCGTGATCCAGGTCCACGGGCCCATCCCCAGATTGGCATGGGTCACAGGGTCCCTCGGACACCCCCACTTCAGATGTGATGGACGACGACGACGACGACGACGACGACGACGACGACGACGACGACGACGACGACGACAGGGGTCTCCTGGAGGCCGACGACCCCCCACCACGCCACGCCCACAGGGGGGGACCCGGACGCGCGGGGTGGGTGGGGCCGAAGGCATCAGGATGCGGCATCAGCACGATGGGCGGGGGGCCCAGACCCTGGATCACGTGTGGAGGTCGGACCTCCAGCCTCGAGGTGTTCGATGCTGTGGGGAGGGAGGCGGAGGACGGGTGGGCCTGCGGCAGCGACCCAGAGACGAAGCCAGCCTGAATTCGTCTGTAAGCTCGGCGGCGTGCCAGGAATGATACGGTTAGGGCAATGGATGAGGAACCATTGGATAAAGCAAAGAATCCAAGGTCTGGAAGCCGGCTGAACACCGATTGAGGCTTGGCCATGGTTACCACCGCCGCCCTCATCAAGGTAAGGAATCCTCTATGGTATGCAGCCTCCTGGGCACTTTCCAGAACGACCGCCGCAACCGTAACTACAGTCGGCCCATATCATCAGTATGCGCGATAAGGATGCAAGGGCCTTGGACGCCCATTCCGAAGCTTTTCGAGCGGGGAGCGGCCAATGCAAGCGGTCAAGGATGGGCCGAGAAGGCAAGGATGGCAAGGGTACCCTTGGGAAGGCTGCCCATCCTTTCACTATGCGGGTTGACTGAAATGGCGGCATCGAGCGTCGGCGTCGAGCTGTCCGGGTTCCCGGGGCCTCGAACCCCCAAAGATGCTGACGCCTCGCGCTGCTACCTCCACCACCTGCCATCGTGCTCCAGCCGGCGAGCCCGCCGCCGTTTTGCTTGGGTCGGGCATGTCCTCCTGCAGACGGATTTTGGAAGGAAAATTAAAAACAGTCAAAGCACACTCAAAACGAGTCAAAAGAGCACGAACATCGTCCCCAGACTATTTTTGTGACTGCTCTTGAGAATTCCTCCTGTAGAGGGACAGGCTCGACTTGAGGCGAGTAGCGCGCCGAAGGCGAGACCCCTTCTGGAGTGTCTCCAGTGGGCCTGGGGCAGCCGGTGGGACGGTACGGTCGGTTTCCTGCGGCGTCGGCGCGCGCAAAGGCCTTCGACACCGCGCCGATCGTTCCGCCTCGAATAGGAGGAATGACGCCATAAACATGACTTTTGGCGCTCCGCGCGGATTTCTCGGATCCGCGCTGGGTCCCCCTCCCTGGCGCGCGGGGCGCGCCAGGTGCGGCGCTGGAAGCGCCGCCTGGGGGGAGGACCCAGCGCGGATCCGAGAAACCTGCGCGGAGCGCCAAAAGTTTATGTTTACGGCGTTTTGTCTCTTCCTCGACTTGAATCGATCGCAGCCCCGTTCGTTCAAGGTTACATTGCGTCGGGTCCAGTGGCGTTGCGGTATCCCTCGGTGCTTCCGCGTCGCAGAATGCAACCTTGAAGGCCTTCGCTAGCGTCGCCAGCGTGCCAACGCCGCATGAACCTACCGTAGAAGGGGTGAGTAGAAGCTGCCCTGAGCGACAAGAAGGATCTCGTGCCCGCCCCCTTCTTTAGCCCCCTCTGCACTCTGGTGCAAACCAGCCATCGCCAACCGTCCCCGTTCCTGTGATCATGCGATCGGTGGACAAACATAAAACATCGCCTCGACACACTTGCCATCGCTCAGACGCCCATTCCCCATGCATTTTTCGATTTCGCGCGTGGCTTTGGTCACAAGATGACCCGGGATGCTCCTCAACAGTCCCCGCCGAGAAAAAATGCACACGTCCGAGCGATGCCAAGTACAGAATGCCGTTCTGCATGAGGGAAGACATGCCCTGGAGCTCCCAGCGAGAACCCTGCAGCTCGCAGCGAGGCTCGCAGCTGCGGGAGACAGCGCCAGCGCCCATCTGGCCACCCTGGCGCTGCAGCCCCTCGGCGGTCTCTGCGCCGTCAGCTGGGCGCTGCCATGTTTGTCCATCCGTCGGCTACACGTAGGAGTGACCCTAGGTCCTAGGTAAGAGTGACCTTTGGTGCGCGTGACCTGGGTGGGCCAGCCTGGGTGCGCAAGTCGCCGCTGCCACTTCGCGCTCAGCGGTCGAAGGACCCCACTGGGCCCGCACCAAGAGGTCACTCCTGCGAAAGGTCGCTCTTGCGTTTAGTCGAATCCGACGCCCCCCCGCCATCCCAGGGTCCTGTATCCTGGCGGCTGCCGCATGCTCCTCGTCGGTTCCCGCTTTGCGCTTGCTGGCTGCGGAGCTGCGCGCCCGCTTGCCGCGGTGCACGGCCTGGATCCTGACTGCCGCCGCGTGCTCCTCGTCGTTTCCGACCGGGAGGTCTTCACGAGCTGAGCTGGCGGCGCCACTGGCCCCCGAGCTGCGCGCCTGTCGGCCGCAGCGTGTGGCCTGGATCCCGTCTGCTGCAGGGCTCTCCTCGTCTGTCCCATGCGTGGGTTCTTCCCGAACTAGGCTGAGGGCCGCCGTGCGCTTGCGCTCTATCGAGCTGCGAGCCTGTATGCCGCGGTGCACGGCCTGGATCTTGGCAGCCGCAGCATACTCCTCGTCGGTCCCCCGCGGGGGGTCCCCACGAGCCAGAAAGGCAGCCTGGAGCTTGGCTGCCGCAACATTCTCCTCGTCGGTCCCCTGCGGGGGGTCCTCACGAGCTAGAAAAGCGGCCGCCGTGCGCTGATCCTGCACCAAGCCGCGCGCCTGATTGCCGCGGTGCACGGCCTGGATCTTGGCTGCTGCAGCGTTCTCCTCCTCGGACCCCTGCGCGGTCTTCTCGGCGTCCCCCTCCGCGCTCCACCTGCGGTTCGGGGCCGGAGCTCAGTGCTGGCTGCCCTTCTCCTCCCTTCGCTTATGTTACTCCCATCGTACTTAAGGACCATGCCCCAGAAATAATTTCGAGCACCCGGAAAAGTCTCGACAGAGTGTCGAAACAATGTCGGACGAGTGTCTCCCAGGGCCCGACACGTGAAAACCCTCGAGTTTCGGTACTTTTTCTCGTGCTCGAAATTCTTTCTGGTGGTCCAGGGTAAAGCAGGCTGGAACATCATAACCCGCCGCCCTCCCCATCCCGTGCTGCCCCCCCCCCCCCCCCCTCCTACCCCCCGCCGTTGCCACCAGACCTGCCCGTGTGACCTCGCGCTGCCCTGTCTCGGCCGACCTCCCGCTCCGCCGGCCGTGTGCCGCGTGCCCCTCCCTCCCTGGCGCCCGTTCCCTCCCCCCTCCCTGGCCCTCTGCCCAAGGGGGTCCAGGCGAAGTCCTGGTGCACCAGCCCGTTCGAGGAGCAACGACGCGACGACGGCAATCGCGACGTGAGCCATCTTGTTATTTCACTGCCGCTGTGACCAGCTCGTGCTAAAGTGCCAGAGAGGAGATCGTCCCCCTCCCCGCTGGAGCCAGATCCAATGTTGGCACGGCCTGCTGAGGCCACGGGGCTCCACTGCAGAATTCGAACAGGCTACTTCGCAACACAAGCTCCAAGACTAGAACTTGTTTTTAAGCCATCGCGACTTGAGCCAAGAGGCCCCTCTGCAAGGTAGCGGGCCTCCAGACCACCCCTCCTGGCATGGACGCGGCAGCCCTCGGGCTCGCGTGCGGAGTCTCGAGGAGGGGCATCTTCGACGCAGCAAGAGGCAGGACAGCTGTGGGCCCCACGATCGCTTCCGCAGCCTGCTCTTGAGAGCACCTCCCCCTGGGCCTCCGGGCCTCAAAGCCCTGCCCCCCTCCGTCCCCCTGCCGACCGTCCCGCCGGGCCCTCCCCCCCTTCCCTCCCCTCGCCCGCCCCGCCCGCCTTGTTGTCCCGACCGGCCCTGCGACCGACCGTGCCCCCAGCCCACCCCCCGCCCCCCTCCCTGTCCGCCTTGTCCACGCCCATCACCTCCATGCTGGCCCGTGCCCTCTCGCTGCCCCGGAAACCGCCCCCCTCGCCTCTGCCCCCCCCCCCCCCCTGTCGGTGCGCGACCCTGCCCGGCCGACCGTGCGAGGCCGTGCCCCCCTCCCAACCCCCTGTCCGTGGTGCGGGCTCGTGCTCCGCTCCTCTGTGTCCCGCTCCTCCTCCCTCCTCCTCCTCCTCCTCCTCCTCTCCCTTCCTCCATCCTCCTCCTCCTCCTCCTCCCTCCTCACCTCCTCCATCCTCCTCCTCCTCCTCCCTCAACTCCTCCTCCAACTCCTTCTCCTCCTAATCACTCCTCCTCCTCCTCCTCAACTCCTCCTCCAACTCCTCCCTCCTCCTCCTCCTCCTCCTCCCCTCCTCAACTCCTCCTCTCCTCAACTCCTCCTCCAAACCGTCTCCTCCGCCTCCTCCTCTCCTCCCTCCTCCTCGCCCTCCTCCTCCTCCTCCTCCTCCTCCGCCTCCTCCTCCTCCTGAACTGTCCTCCATTGCTTATCCAACTCCTCCACCTCCTCCTCTCCTCCTCCTCCTCCTCCTCTCGCCTCCTCCTCCTCCCGACCTCCTCCTCCTCCTCCTCCTCCTCCTCCTGCTCCTGTCCGACCGTGCCCCGTTCCAGCCTGGACCGTGGCCCGTCTCCCCCTGCGCTGCCCCCTCCCCTCGCCACGCCCGGTTGGCCCACACCCACTGCCCCCTCGCGCCATCCCATGTCCCTTCCCCTCACCCGCTCCGTTCTCCCCGCCCCTCCCCCATTCCCCTCCCATCTCCCTCGACCTATCCTGAGCTAGTAGCATCAGTGCTGCAATCCGCCCGCTTCGCCTTGCTGCTTCCTCCCCACCCTGCATTTGGCAGCGCAACCTCCGCGAGGACGCACGAACCTCTCTTAGACCAGATCCCCACCCTCCCTCCCTCCCTCCCCACCCCCCTCGTCTCCCACCCACCCTCTCTTCTCCTCCCCTCCGGTCCACTCCTCTTCCACCTCCCTCTTCCACTCCCTGTCATCCTTTGCCCTTCGAGTCGCCTGCCCTCCCGCCCCACCAACCCAGCCACCCGCACAGGTTTGAGAGGCCACGGCGGACGACGGCGCGACACAGCCAAAAGCCAGACTGCCTGCGCGCTGCGAAAAGCGAGGTGCAGTGGGTGAGAGGGTGGGTGTGGGCGTGGGTGTGGGCATGGGTGTGGGCGTAGGTGTGGACGTGCGTGTGGGTGTGGGTGTGGGGGGGCGTGGGCGTGGTGGTGGGAGTATGAGTTGGGGATGGCGTGGGCGTGGGCGCGGGCGTGGACGTGGGCGTGGGCAGAGATCCCAAACACGCCTCGCATCCCCGGGCAGTCATGCCAAGCGTCAGGGCTGGGCCCTGCAAGCTCCACCTTGCCTCGAGACGACGTGGGCTCCAGGTCTCCGCCGCCGCGCGAGAGCCCCGACGCCCTGCACGATCTCCGCGCTCGGAGGACCCCCAAAGGCGCCCGACCCCACCTTTCGCATGGACTCTGAGCCGTAGGAGTCCCTTCCTCCAGCGGGCCCCAGGGGGCCGGAGGCGAACCCCCAGCCCGCCATCGCTCGGACGTCCATTCACCGTGCGTTGTTCGGTTTCGTGCGATGGCCCTCGCCGAGAAAAAAAGCAAAGGTCCGAGCGATGCCGAGCTAGAGGGCGTGCAGCCTCTGGGGCGGCCACCTTCGCGCGCCGCGCCGCGCGCGCGCCGCGCGCCGCGCACTGCTCCTAGCGCCCTCCCTCTCGAGGCGACGACGAAGACGACGACGACGACGACGACGACGACGACGACGACGACGACGACGACGACGACGACGACGACCAGGACGAGGACGAGGACGAGGACGAGGACGAGGACGAGGACGAGGACGAGGACGAGGACGAGGACGTCGCCAGGCCACCTTGCCGAGAGGCACCACTCCTCCGAGGCGGCCTCGGACGCCTCAGGGACGGCGGGGTCCTCCTCCGAGGCGGCGTCGGGCAGCTCAGGCAGGGCGGCGCTGGCGGCGGCGGGCCTGAGGCTCCTGCGCGCCGTGGCGGGGCGGGCGTGCGGGAGGAGGAGGAGGAGGAGGAGGAGGAGGAGGAGGAGGAGGAGGAGGAGGAGGAGGAGGGCGGGAGGACCATCACAGGCTAATGAGGAAGGCTAAGGTTAGGCCGACCCGACCCGAACCGAAACCTTAAGGTTACATCCGCCCACCACTTACGCTCACATGTATCCTGCCTCGCCGCTCCCTCCTTGAGGAGCTGGGCAGCAGGAAAGGGCAGGGCAAGTCGGGGGCGGGCCTTCATACTGCTCTTGGGATGTCGGCCGCCTGACAGAAGAGACCACGCACCTTGGGAGAACTTGCTTCGGAAGCGCTCCTTACATTCACCTTTGAGCCCTTTGAGGTTGCTTTCCGTGTATCGGCCGCACCTCCTGCACACTACAATGAAGGACTCAATATCAAGGTAATCACAGATTATAAGTTGGTGCTTCTGGGGGTCTCTAATTAATTGTGAGAGTGTCGCCGAGTTGCCTGGGCACGGCTCCGCCGTGCGGGCTTTCTTGGTGGCGTCGGATCTAGCTATAGTATGGCATAGCAGGCACAGCCAGTGACCGTTCAACCAGCCCCAAGTGTGCCTACTGGCATTGACACGTGCACTCGCACGCCTGGGACCCGCAGCAGGGGGTGGGGGGGTAAGCCATTCATGGACCGCACCCGCTGCCCTCACAGGGGGATTGAGGCTCTTGGCTGGGGTGGCAAAGGCTTTCTTCCCAGTCTTCGGCGCCAGCGGCGCCCAAAGTGAAAGGGCCTCACCAACAAATCGCACGAACCTCTGCACCCTGCTGCGAGTCTCTTTATAAAATTCAATCTCCAAAGTCGACGGGGCTGGGAACAAGGCAGCAACATGTTTGGCCACCTTGTCCGCCCAGTCGTTTCCTTTTGCAAGAAACCAGTCCCTCGAGCCAGCCTCCAGGGACTCAAGATCCTGGTGGGCCTTCACTTTCGCAATCTCGAGGGACCAGAAACTGGCCTGGGACCTGGCCAAAACAGAAACTCCAGAGAACATTTCTTTCCTACTAACCTCAGGGCTCTGGTGGACCGAGAGGATACCTTTGAAATCGGTCCACGCCTTCGTGACTCTGGGGCACGAGGCGGCAGCTAGAAAACCTAAGTGTTCGGCAGCAGGCGACGTCGGGGGCAGGCTGGCCCCCACGGGCCCCGAGAGGGAGGCAACTAGGTCGCCCTCCTCGTCGATTTTAACCACGGACCAGGCAGGGGCATCATAAACCGCGGGCCCAGGTTTTAAAACGCTGCCGTCGTGAAACACTTCTCCATTCATGGCCACCTCCTTGGGTAGCCCATCACGAGACCAATACACCGCTTGGTCTAATCCTAAACCATGGGGCCTCAGAGCAATCGGTTCTGGTCGAAGCTGAAATCCCAAGACATATGGAAACCCCCTCCTCCCGTCTCTGAGCTCCTCCACGTCCCCCTCCTTCAACATCTCCTTCCTCAGGTTCTCCGTTTGCGGGCACTCGAAGAGTCTGTGGGGGATGGAGTCCACGGGGCCCTGGCATAAGTCGCACACGACTTCACCGTCATACCCTGCAGACGTCATTTTCTCTTTGGTCCAAATACACTGGCAGTCGAAAGAGAGCAGCGTCTTGCGCTTGTGGCCTTGGATGGTCTGGTCCTGCAGCGCGTGCTGCATGACCGTAGCGTCGAGCGGCTCGTCTAGGCCGAGCTTCTTGCTCGCACGAAGATCCAACTGCTGCTGCCATTGGCTCTGAAACATCTTCTTAATCAGAGCGGGAGAGGTCGTGATGAGGGGGAAATCCTGGCCGTCCGAGTTCTGGAAAACGAACGGGTCGGGCATTGACCATCCCAGACGCTCAAGACTGAGAAGCGTGGCCCCAAGGGGCCCTCGGATTTGGTACCACTTCTTGGGAGGCTTGTTGAGCACCTCGAGGGCTTGGGCTCGAAGACCAGGAAGCGAGAAACTTACGGTACCAGGATAATGAGCAACTCTCCAAATCAGATTTGCCCAATAAACCGCCGGCCCCAGAGCCGCACTCCAAGTCGGGTCACCCAGGATCGAGAGAGCCAGAGACCTGGACCTAGTAGCACAGCGGGGGCCCACAATCTTGAGGTACAGGGACTGGGCCTCGTGCACCTCGGGGTTGGTTAAGCCAACAACCTCTGCTCCATAGTAGGCTGCCGCTTTCAACCCCGTCTGATAAACCTTACGCATGTTCGCGCCTGCACGCCTAATCTGCACCAAACGGTGGATACGTCGTTTCATCTTGGTCGTTCGCTTCTTGAGGGTCACGCGATTCTTCTTCCTAAGACGGTTCCCCATGGTGAAATCAACTCCTAGGTTTGGCGCAGACTGAGCTTGGTGGACTCCATCGGGTCCACTGTATTTGCCTGAGGAGGAGGAGGAGGAGGAGGAGGAGGAGGAGGAGGAGGAGGAGGAGGGAGGAG